CGGGGACGCCGTGTGCTTCTGACAGCTGCCTCGTCTTACTTCCAGTCCAGAGACGGAAGGAATTAGAAAAATGTGACAAGTGACACAGGAGCTCAGGGATAAAATGAGTTACAGGCACAAATTTACCGAAGAATAACCAGAGATAACCTCAGTCCATAATGTGGCTGGATATAGGCTGGATGTGTAGGGTTCGATTTCCTTCAGAAGAAGAGACCACAATCAGACCGGACGCACGATCCATCCAACCTCTAATCCACTGGATACCCGAGGTCATTTCCCCGTCTAGTTCCCAAGACCTAGAATACGCAAAGCGATACCACTACGCCCCTTACACAGCTGCAAGAGGTGATGCAAAGCACAAGGGAAAATTTACTTCTTAACCTAAGCTTTAACCGAGTATCCAAATTGTATTAGTCTGAAACCTGGTCTCTCACGTGAAGGTAAGAACACAGTTTTAATGTAACTGAGAATATTTGGACCTAAGACAGATGAAATGACAGGATACTGAAGAAAACTGTACAATTAGGGTCTCCATAAGTTTTATTCTTTGCCAAATATAATTATGATGACCACGTCAAGGAGGATTAGATGGATTGTGCATCCAGAACATACGAGGAAATGATAAATACTCGTACGTATAAAATTTTGGTTGAAAATCCTGAGGAAGAAAACACTCGAAACGCCTGGGTATTGATGAGAGGGTAAGTTCAAAATTGATTTAAGGGAAAAAGAATTGCTAGTGTGGATTGGATTCATCTGGCACGGAGTAGGAACCGGTCGCGGGCTCATATTAACGCAGTAACGGACACTGAAGTTCTCGACAAGAAGTCTGCTCGATGGAAGTAATTTTCCGAGTATCCGAAAGAAGAAATGCAGTTCTGATATGAAATACATTAATTGCCTTTAATTAATCATTCTTTAAGCTGCAGAGATCACAAACTTCACATTTGATATACGGTAATCAGTTTGTCAAATTTTGTCTTTTCTTACAGTGAATGTTTTTTTCTACAATTAGCTGCATTTTCAGAATTTTTTAAATAAATAAGTTAAATAACGAACGAATGAAAAAAAAGAAAAATAATAATAATTTGGCTTTATCATCCAATCACAGCATTAATGTTTATGATGAGGATTGCAGTTGGGCAGAAAATGAAATTCTAACTTGTTCATTTTTCACTTATTTTCCTTCACGTCATCTTCCTTTATTTCTCTTATTTTTTCATATTTTCCTTCCCCGTGGTTTTCTCCTTAGTTCACAATTTTAAGATGCAAAACTAAAAATTCTCTCAGATTCTCCTTCTGTCACTCAATACTGCAAGCTTTCAGCGACTTATTCTGAAGAAATACTTTGTTATTCCATACCGCCAACCTTCCATTGTACGAGAATTTTTATATACACAAAGATTGTTACTTTTTTGAAAATTACAAAAGTTCTCTCTGTATACGGAAGAAGGAATAAAAGTGTAAAAACCTGTAAGTACGTTCTACATTGATACATAGCCTTCTTTTATACGCACACCACAAGGTAACGCGGGGATTTATATCGCACACGCTCTACAACTCGATTCCAGGCAGGCATTTGCAGGCGTCGACAACGGTGGAACGGTCTGAAGCGCTAACAAAGGTTCACGGGCTACATTAAAAGACTGCTTAGACCCAAATACGGTTGCAGTCTGTAAGCAGTCTTACCCAGTTTATCATAAAAATGTAAACTAACGAATACATATTCTTGAAACACTTCTTCGTCTATTACTTTAAAAAATACACAACGTTTCGGAATCTGAAACCGCGTAAAGTAATCGAGTAATTTCCAAGGATCAAACTGATTACGTTTCACAGTTTTACACGATGACACAGCCAGTTTCCGAAACGTTGTTTAATAACACACCTACGACAAAGACCATTAGGAAAATCAGTAACTGTTCCCGGCTCCTAAATTTTCATTCGTCATTCAATGTGCGTAGTCTCTGAACTCATTCTGAGAAAACGAATATATAAGCATTCTGTTCATATTCTTGAATGAGAGATTCACTCAACGCAAGTTTTCAATTGCCTCATAATACAGTGTGGTGAAGGTAACCTACCCCCTCAGCGCCGAAGATATTCAACTGGCCAATACATGTCCTGCTTTTATAAACCCGAAGATGTATCGACACATTAAAAATGACACTGTAAAAATTGTTACTTTTAACACATCTACACTGATATCTTAAAGGCTGGAGAACAGATGCAAAACATGGACAAAACGAAATTATGTCTAATTAATACGATGGTCACCTGTGCCAATAATATTCTACTCTGCCTCTATAAATCACTTAGTTCATGGCGAAGATGACATGCTAAGGAAAAGCTAAAATTGTTCTTAAGCGTATGAACTAGGCTATACTGGAAATTCATTTCAAATAATAATGGCACAGGTTATCGCCCGAAAATACATCGCTGTACCCGGCGTATTACTGGAACTTCCAACTTTAGAATGAAATTTGGCAGGTGTCTGTTCATATTTTGTTAGAATTAAAAGACCTTCATATCCGAAACAGTGCAGAGACTTAGCTAAGAACATTTCAGCAAAATGATATGATTGTGAACTGCAAGGGAATGGTTAATTTCAAATGAACTTACCTTGAAAGTATCATAAATCCTGTTCCGGTAACACGCAGTTTCTTAGGGTTGAATTAAGATCCTATAGTCCTCTTCCAATAACAACATGCAAAAACGTTGTTTCTTCCTATATCTGCCTCTAACATTCTCCATTTCTCCTGAACTGCGCGTCTGATAAAAAAACGTGAAAGGTAAAAAAATATTAATCTGGCGCGAAACATTCACAAAATAAGAAAAAATAAGTCTCTCATCCAAATGGGGAGATGGTCGGGTAGATCACGTCTGAAAGAAAATTAACAGTAACAACAAAAATTCCTTACTTAGCAAGAACAGTGTCCGAAAATACACATGAAATAGTCAGCGGAAAGAAACGTTTTGCGACAAATTGTCACCTAAATAATGACAGATAACAATGCAGCCGTGATACGGTTATAAAACATTCGACTTAAATTCTGTAAATGAAATAATTACAGAAAGAACAAAGGAAACAAAACATATTATACTAATAAACCACAAATATACCAGGCTTCATGCAAGTGTCTGCATAATATTGTATCGAGCAACTGATTGATGTAATTTTTAATGTGATCATAAGCGGGCCTGTGCAAATTTAATACGCATTTTGGAGTCACTTCCAAAATTAGAAGCCTGAATATATAGGTGGTGTGTTCATGTTGGTAAACTTCGTATACATACCAAGTTTACCAGCGTTTCAGAGGTCCTTGCTGCAGCCATCATCAGGACGATGAGTCGCACTGATAATGGAGGCAGCAAGGGCCTGTTAAACGCTAATAAACGTCTACCAGACTACACGGAACAACATCCCAGAAGACAGCCGTGAAAATCTACAATCGAATTTAGATACATGAATGTGAATAATAAACACAGATTGACAATTATTAATTTATTAGAATCACATAAAATACACGTATAAAACAATTATATGGCAACTACAGACATACTTCTCTTAACCTCGAACCCATATACTTGTATAAAAGTAAAGTAAAGTTTTTCCCACTATACGCCATGTAGGCGTTTGGGGTGAGTGGAGGTATAGCTCCTCTCTTCCTTGACCTCGGCACTAGATGGGGGTGAGTGGTCAGCATCACGTCCTGGCCGGCTTTACTCCCGGGAAAGGACCCCGGTACCCATTGTAGAGGAGGCTGGGTGGGCCCCAGAGCCGGTCTGGACGCAGAGGCTAGAGGAAAAATCCTCTGCCCCCGTCGGGGATCTAACCCCGGTCGTCCAGCCCGTAGCTAGTCACTATACTGACTGAGCTATCCCGGGTCATCATATACTTGTATACAGATCATAATAGTGACAAAATTTGGTAATCTAAATCGCCACACGCCCTACAACTATAAAAATGAAATTTAAATTCACCTCTGTGTCGTATTTACTTAATAAATTCAAAACAGGAAATACAAGGCCTCCTGTCCATTTAGAGTTTTCTTTATGTTGAAAATAGGGTCGTCTTGTAAGATTTCAAGATTTAAATCCATCTGTCACGTAACTTTGATAATAAAACACGAGACATAATTACGTAATGCCCGCACGCAGAACCGCTTGTGGTGGCAGTTAACATTAGTATGTTGCCACCTTGAGTACTGTCCGGCCCTTGTAGGGTCCCTTTGTGTTGTTCCTCCATTCGTTTCCAATATTCTTTTCGTTGCTTACACGTTAGAATATAGGCCACAAATTATAAATAATCTTCATTCGTGACAATGAGTTATTATATAAAAAATTTAATGTTTCGGTCAGTATTCAAATATTTTGCCAATATTAACCTGAATGTTTTACGTTGCGAAACTAATATATATATATATATATATATATATATATATACATACATATATCCTACATTGTACAACGTGTGTTCTATTGTGTTTAGACAGGAAGTTCCATCGCAATCTCATTTCGAATTCTTGAAGGTTTTCTCTTTTTAACAACACTAACATGACGGAAGACTTTTCCTCGTAAAAATTAAACAATAAATCCTATAACATGTAGTTGATTTCATTATGTTCCATGATATGACTGCCACGCGTAAAACTGCATTGAACACAGATATGCTGTCTGACGTTTCGGAATAACGATACATCAAATTCACAAGATAACTGATATCATTACGTCGATTATATTAAACAGATACCGAGACAATATTACAGGGAGAGGTGAGGCCTTTTTCGTGCTGCTTTTAGTCACACAGATTGATAATCTTTTTTTTTTCAAATCGCCCTGATGATGTAGGCAGCAATAACCTCTAAAACTTCGGTAGACTTCTGCCTGACTACAAAGCGCAACATCCTGGAATAGAGCAGTCTTCATATTCGCCGAAGTGATAACCTCAAATCTCAACTCTAGTATTTCTTGATTGATTCATTGAAATTACTGTTGTATTATCTTGCTATATCACAATGTCAGACGTATTTTATTCCGTAAAATGGTTTCTACAAATAACGTAAAAGTATGTAATAAATCATAGTAAATTAAGTATTTTACGCTGGTTATCTAAGTGAGAAAAACTAGAAGCACAGGCCTAGTAAAAATCTGATGGCACAGAAGCAGTTTTAAAGTTCTGACTGACAATCTTGCAAGCATACAATTAAAAATTGAGGTCATAAAATTATGTACAAAATTTTCACAGTAATGATTCTTAGAAAGTTAATTAAAAATATGCATGAGAAAACTTTTTAGTGTCTTTCCCATAGGGATAATGACGAAAGTAAGCCAGAAAAAGATCTTAAGAACACGCAATGTTACATCGTTGTCACGACAGAATTGGCGGGAAAGACATCGTGTGTGCTGCGTCTAAACAGAACTAAATACGTCCCTTGAGTCTTCAGGACCAACAATCTCATGAAACCGGTTTCCAGGTTATGAGACAATCTGATGACACGTTCACTGAAACCATATTAGCTTTATCATTAGGGGAACAAAGCTAACCAATAAATGTAATGTCTTGTTTTTACGCGATGTTAGGTCAAACTTATCGCTGCCATCAATATGAATAAAATTAGTGTTTTTCTATTAAAAATTAACTTGGTTTGTTGCAGGTTCTTTCATCGTTATGACTTCATCGAATTTTGTTAATTTAGTTTCATATATAGGTCACACGAAATTTCACGTTCTACTAACAGAAAGTAGACGTTCCTGTTCTCTGCGTGTTACCTATTAACTTGCTGTCAGCAACACCCAAGGATTAACAGCGCTGAAATTGAAACCCTCCATTTCCCACTACTTTTGGTCACTTCCTTCAACCTTCCATCCTATGGCAAGAAACTGCTAAAATAATTTCATGCAATAAAGTGTCAAACAGTATAACTGTTCGCTTATTCTCAATATTTTAATAATGACAAATCACCTCGAACTACCGTTTCCCGCAGGTACTCTTCAGTACACTTTATCCTTTCTTCTAGAAATAAAGGAAACACTGCTCCCTCTGAAGACAGTAGGCCTAATTAAAGAACTTTCGTAAAATATCTGTAACAATATTCGATGCATTTATTAAATGAGCAAAATGTATAATTACCCCTCTGAATAAGCGTAAAGTATTATCAACCTAAGTACTAGATGGAAGTCACTGATTAGTTATGCTTTCCGTCTGTCTTTGCCCCTTGCGGTGTCCCTAGCAACCACTGGACAGATGGGTTCGCAGTTTCAAAGATGTTATGAACATGCTGAAAATTAATTATACGCAAAACCTGTAACTGAGACCAGTGCTTGCGTCCGTATTCCGTTATTTTTAATGTTATCGTGTTTTTGTTTTAACTGAGCAGTGGACTGAAAATAAACAGACCAATGGACCTTTAAATTACTAATTAATAATATGTCACATACAATTACTGGCGTAGATGGAGTGTGATATTAAATACGATAATAGAGGACCAGGATGTGGAGGTATGAGCGGGATTCAACTGGCTTTACATATGATCCAATGCGAGTTTTTGTAAGCGGTCCATGAATTTGGGAATTTCTTGAGAAGTTCAATATTTATCAGATGTTTACGGAACATCCTAGGAAGTTTGGTCCATTTTTCAATTAGTTATACACATTTGCAGGAAAGGAGAAATAACATTAAATGTCATAAACCATCATATACTTATGACATGAATAAAATATGCCACAAGTAAATAAAAATATTTCTAGTTTCTGAACTTGTTTGTAAGTCAGAATTAGAATACAAATCTCAACGTCTGAATTACATTTAATCACCACGAAATAAACACGTGCTTTAAAGAAATTATTTTTAAAATTTTATGTTTCGTTACGTAATATCACAACACTTCTGAAATGAGCACGTTAATTTATGAACACAGCAGACACCTGGGTAACGTTTTCCTTTGTTATTCGAGGTCCTTGTGTTATTCAACAACGTTACTTGAGTGAAATGGAACAGAAGAAATTATTGTGAAAGCGGGATGATTTGGAAGGAAACGGTAATGGCCTAGGTTTTATTTTGAAACTCGCCTGGAAAATATCAGGTCACATCTAGAAAGTTCAGTCGGAATTAAAAGTGTCTTACACCTTACGGTTACTTACTTAGGATACTTAGACGACCCGTTCTTCAGTGCCTTTGAGCAGAACCTTACGGTTACGCGCATCAATTGCGTTATGGCTATTCTAACCTTCTCTGTCCCTGTCGCCAGTCATAAACAATATTACGCATACTGGTACATAATATTACCAGTCAAATTCACGTGTCTTGAGAGTCGAAAAACATTTTCTTAACCTCATTAATATTCATTAATCGCAACAAACTATGATATTATTACCGTTTCTGTCCTGTTTTCTTAGAACCCAACATCTTCAAAGGATCTTTGCGGTAACGTGCAAACACTTCGCTCTTGAAAGTTTCGAAATGGCGACGATTCATACTGTTTTGTCTTTCCCTCCAGGAAGGGCGTCCCTTCTTGTTCTGAAGCCCCCAGTGACAGGTGAAGATCGGAGACAACACTTGGAACTGATATCCAGCAACAAACATCTCGTACACCTGTAAACAGACAGAGTTTGTTTGGCTACTCGATCCCTCTTCAACTTCTAGAAAAATTACGATTGGTAAAAACACAGCTTTTGCTAATAGGTCTCCTCATCAAAGCCCAAAATTGTGTGGATCTTACATCATTAGACGTAAAATAATAAAGTGTCACACCCCAGTAATTTGAAAGTTACGATGCCATTACAACAAACGTCTAACAAATGGTGGGAATGTCACTGATATGTTTCGGTGCATAGACAAATAAAACCTTGAATTCATAAAACTAATTTAATCAGTAGCTTGTCGATAATATGGAGCGCTGAATTCCCACAGACACGTGGATGTGCGATAATGTGTCGATAGGATCCGTTGAGAAGCTGTGGGGAGGTGAATCAATATTACCGGAGGGTTGGATGTAAAATTAGAGGGAGCCTAGCATCACAGAGTGTCGGTGGTATTTAATGACCAGTATGCTACGCTACTACAAGGGGTGTCTATTAGTAATATCATAGCTGCCCGCCCTCAGGCTTTCCCTTTGTCTGGCCAATCCTTCACTTATACAGTAAAGCCCACTGCAAGAAGGGTCTAAAGCATTTCTAGATGCACATCTGAAGGATCCGCATTAAGTTGTAATGTTAACCGTAACAATTAAGAGAAGATTAAATTTTGGGAATGTCTGCTACCATGCAGATTAGAATCTTTTACTTCCTGCTAAAGATTGAAATGTACAAAACTATAGTTTTACCTGCTGTTTTTTTATGGGTGATACTCGGTCATCTCACATTAAGGGAGAAAACATAAACGGAAGGTGTCTGATAACTGGGTACTCAGGATAATTTCTGGCCCAGAAGACGGAGTTTCATACTTTATATTCGTCATCAAATACTACGATTGTATTGGACCGATAACGGCCAAAATTAAACTAATTACATTACAAAATCGAACACCAAATCTTATCTAAATTCGTTAATTTGTTATGAAGATTAAATATTTATATGAAACAAAGAGCAGACATGTATTTCATAGTTATGTTTCTTTGTGTTTTTACGGTTAAAGTGAACATTAGAGCAAATACAGGGGCGTGAAGGTAGGACTCCAGTTACTATTGGTTTCTACGTCATATTAAACACACTGGTGAGTCATGTTCCGGCCGCTTTGATCCGTATGCAAGAATATTCGGTATATACTGGATAAGACGGTAGAAATAAAACAGGGAAATTATTAAGTTGTCATCGAGAGAAAATCTTGTGTTGACTGGAATTGAGCTCACACACGTGTAGTGACACTTATTAATTACGATCATGTTACGGTCGACCTGACATAAATTAAGTAATTTCATGGTCTATTCCTTGTTTCACGTAACATTTAACAGGTAAATATAATAAGTTTAATTATAAAAGGAGCTTTGTGGGCTACTATATCGAAATTTCTGATTATTTTCGATCTCTATGAAACTCCGTCGCCCTCGACACAGCCAGTACAGCAATTTCTTAATGTAAATTTGTTCTCTGTGGTCTTTGCCACAACTTGAACCAGAACAGTCCAAAATAAAAACGTAACCATAATGTGTGGAGTGCAGAATTAAGAAGGGATGTGAGATAGATCTAGAAGACTGTGTGATGGCAGCACGGCTATCTAATTTCTAGTTCGCTCGTTTGTGATACATTCGAACAGGCAAGTGTGCATAGAACGGGCCGTTCCTGATCCTATATCCATGCAACCTACAGTGGGTTTTCGTGACTGACGCTGTGTGAAATTGGACGATAATGTTCAACTTCTCTGCCCTCTGTGTGGTTTCCTATAAAAAAAAATCTTTACGTAGTCTTCCCACTCCACGACACTCATGATGGAATATTTTATAAAAACCTCTCAGTTTCACTTAACCCCAGAACAAGTTTTGAATGACGAAATACGTAGTCCTATTGGTACTTAACTTCAATAATTAAACCTGCTTATGCCCACATTGCGCTTTCTAAGTTTAATGCCTTTGAAACACTTGTAAGTTATAATTATATTAACAACTTTAATATTTCAAACAGCTGACGCTTCTTGTGGAAGTATGAGAATTTCATGAAAACACACAACGGTCTTGGCAATATGATGCAAATGAATACTTAGAAAGCGCTGCTTCACATGGCGTAAAGGTTTTATTTCAAAGGAATATCAGAGTCGTAACAATCTTCAACATATGCTTTCCAGCTTAGTATCTCGTCATAGGTAGGCTATTAAATGAATATTAACTTCATACAAAAGTTTGTTCGGAAACTCCCAACGGAAGGGAGCACCTCTAAGACTTGGGCGTAAACAGGAGAATAAAATTAAAAGGCGATTCAGTGAAACACTATGAGGATGTCGACTGGATTAAATTCAAGTTTTTTTGGTCTTCTGGCTTCTCAGGCCGTGTTAACTCGCAAGAAGGCACCAACTTTTCGGAGAAACATACTGCCTCCATCTTCAGGGCTGAAGTTCAAAACACAGAACAACAACATCGACATCTTCACCGCTGCAAGAACATCAAATTTTACATCGATTAAACTGGTTTAGATTTCAGGTACAACAGCGGTATTTTGTTAACGGGGAATTGAATCTTCGGATTCCGTAAAAGACGATGAATTTTTTTAGAAATCAGTATCTTATACTCTTCATGCGTAACGATTTTCGCAATTTAAATTTATTAAGTTACTATAACGTGACAACACTCAGCATAGCGGAATATACACGGTACTGTGCCCCACATAAATTCATACTGCCGGATCCAACATAATAGGTGTCACGTTCTTTAACCTGAAGACGGAAGAAGATTCATACTTCGAAACGTAGAGATTTTTAAGGCCTTTTAAAAAAAGAGATTGATAAAGTGCGAAACAAAGAAAGTAGTAAAGGTTGTATTACATGATATAAGTTGATGGAACTATGTTTCTTAAATAAATACGTCATTTTGGCCTTCAGCACAAAACCCTTCTTTTATGAGATACTTAATAAAAATGACACTTGATTTATATATATCTGAATATATTCGACGAGACTGAAATATTTTAATTTCTAAAAAAGTGCACAATTACTAACCTAATCTGAATATTCAAAACCAGATTGTTGGAAATACAAACATGAGATAGCAATCCCTTCAGAAATTACTGACTTTGGAATGGGAAACCAACACACAAAACCGTGTGATTTATGATCTTTAATTATAAACGTTGCTGCAGTTTGCGTGCTGACGCGGGCGATAGTAGGATTTGCGACATGCTGTTGTCTGAACACTGAAACATCGTGTTTAGTGGGTCAACTATACATTGTGTATCAACGAGATAAGAAGCTTAATCTTTCTAGTCATTCGTTACTAATTGTGCTGCAAAGCCAACAGAACCGGTCTAAGGTGCTGTCAGGAAGGGAAAGACAAACCCAAAGTCGCAGTTTGAAATCCAGTCTGTGTTATATCAGGGATTAATTTATAAAAGCAGTGGATGTGTTGACAACAAAAACTTTGTGACAGTATCACCTATCCTCCGTATTTAATTGTCAGTTAATCCACATCATTTGCGATAAAATGATGTGCAGAACAAATAATAAGTTATTGCATGTCCGTGTAGAATATATACAAATTTAAATAAAATTTAACTTTGGTTCCGGCTATAAAAAATAATTCATCGGGGCAGAAACCGTTCGAGAAGCCGAAAGTCCCACACCTAATCAATACATTCCCGCCTTTTATGTAAACCCTCATCCAAATTTTAGAGCGTTATTTAAAACCTTCATACATACAAAAAAAATAGTTAATTTCAAAAGTGTATCCATATTTCTGGATCGTTTCACATTCTTCGTATTCTAAGAACTTCATCACTCTGCTTTCCACGCAACTACTTCTTTGTTTTCTCAGGTAGTTGCAGCACCGAGCTCAAAACTTTTCTCTCCCAGAAATCTTCTTTCATTTTTCCACCTGTCCGTTGCATTTCACAGTTTCTCCAACTCCCATCAATTCCCAAACGCTTGTTTCTTGGGCTTCAGTGCACCAGCTGATGAACGCTTTCATAAACACGCGTCTTCCGTGGCGCCCTAAGAGAAATCTTTAATTCTTGGCTTATTTAACGACGGGTTTCAGCTGTACAGTACAGATTAAGATTGTAGAGTGACTGTGAATGAATGAATAATTTGAATAACTGTTACCATTTACAGAAGGACTCTGGTCCATTGGAACTCGTTAGGCGAAGAGCCTTACCTGTGTGTTTCTCGTGTATCCATAGCCGATGAAGCGCTCATCGTGGGCTGGAACTGTGTCGGGCGCAACATAGAATGGCTCATACAAGAACTCGAAGTTGGTCACGTTATGATTCACGTGAACGGCCTCCCCTTCTCTACCTGCAGTCGCCTGCCACCTGAGATGCAGATCACAGTATAGAGTCGCATTACAAGGACGACGTTTTGAACCAAGCCGACACAGGATACAGTAAAACAGGCTTAAGATCCTTTGTCCCGTGTACACACCAACGAGCCTCCGAAAACATTTAGGGTTTAAATACACAGACGTTGCGGGAATTTCGTTCCAATGGCGTCACTCACATGAATCAAGATTTCAGGTGGGCGGGGTAAGGAAAATAGAAGCCTATATCGGACAATATACTTGTTCCATACTGTAGCTGTGTTAAAACTTGGTTTACTTCGTTTCATTATATTTCATACTGCATGCTGGATAAATATAAATTATTGTTTGCCATCCCTTGGCATCTTATATATCTAATTTAATTTTCATAGCTCAAGTTTGAAGCTTGTCAGTGCTGTGATATTTCTGTGCAAAAAACAAAAAAACAAATATAATTAAACTGTGTAAGATTTGAGGTTTTGACAGCGGTGAGTATGAATATTTCTGTCTTCTGGGTTGTTGCACCCTGATGACGGAGGCAGTATGACCTCTGAAACGTTGGTTAACATCGACCAGACTACACAGCGCAACAACCCAGAAGACAGAAATCTTCATAATTAAACTGTATTCGCATTTAGTTTCCTCTGGAGACAACGCTACGCCTGGCAACTCCGATTCACGTATGGCTTCCGTTCCTGTCGTTCGTTTGTGACGCCCGTCGACTGCTGATGCGTCACCCTTGTTGTCAAGGCTACGTAGAGCCATAGTAGCATGCCACATAACCGCAATCACTGGCTTTATCTCGATTAACGTGGCCTGACCCGCAACAGGTCATGATAATTTGAATTTTATTTAATATTTCAAAACAGAAAACAAACCATTAATGAAATTATATATATATATATATATATATATATATATATATAAAATCCACTCAAATGGAAAATAAAATGTATAGTAATTTAATCATATTTTTCATTGCAGTCTTTTTCAGTTTCCATTGGATGGATTTGTATTTAACGCTTTATAGATCAAATGGAAAATAATGTCGCATCACGTCAAAAGAAATATGCACTCTGTATAAAAGTGCATTCCAAACAGAAATTTGATGTAAATATACGCTTCATATCCTACACATGTTAAAATTTTTAAATTAAAAAGTGTTCTATTGCTGAAACAGAATTTTCTTATGGCGTCAGTTAAAGAATGACTGTGCGGCTTTTCGTTTCAAGAAAGCGCGTTTTTCGAACGGCTAATTAATCTGTATCGTACTGAACTGCAATGACTTGCACAGCATTACACAGTTTAATTACATTAAAGTGTATCGTATCAGATTATATTCATTTTACACAGCAGATCACACATTGTCTCTATAAAGGATTTTCACACATGCCTAGAGAAATTGGTCGCAAATTGATTGTAGATGAACACCCTGTGGTGGAAAGGTCTGGCCAGCCCTTTCCTTGCCAGACGGATGAGATCAGTTTTATTGCGAGGAAACAACACCCTCTCGTCCAGCTCGTACGTCGGAATGACGTAGGCGCACAAACTTTTACACTTCGCATTCTTAAGAAACACGTCAAGTCCATCGGTCAGTTTTGCACTCGGAATTATATCAACGTCAGTGAGGAAGACATACGAACTCTGACAATTTCGTCGAGCTAGATTCCGCAAATGATTTTGCGGATAAGCAGCCTTTATTCTCCACTTTACCGTTTCCGGTTTTCGAAGTCGTACTAGTCCTGATAAGGCGGCTTCAGGTCTACGACAGTCCAATTTAGGTCTCGATGGGAAATCTGGACGAATCTGTGAAGGTGGACGATCTTTGGGATATGCCAAATGGAAGCTAACTCGATCACGCACCACAGGATAACAACGTCTCAAGAAAGCAACGTACAGCTGTACCAGAGAGTACTCGTCACCCGCGGCGAACACCGCTGCAGATATGGGGCCTGTCCAATGATGAGCCACTTGCACCAAAGACTGGAGCTTCTCTAAAGAACTCTGAGTTGCAAGGCACACCGAATACTTCTCCGACAATTCGGCATACCGATCTCCAGGAAGTGCAAAGTCATAAAGTTTGTAGAGATGTCTTGAGTCCCAGCGTCCTAGGCGCAGGTCAACACGGAAGACAGTGCCGTTTGTGACAGTGGCTGTTGGTCCAGTGGTCGAGTTCGCTACTTTGCAGTGTGGTGGTGTCGGCGACGACTCGTGGCTCTGCCCTGGAGTTCGACTGTCTTTGAACTGCTGCTGCTGCAGACGCAATGGTTCGGACGGAGGAGCCTCTTGCCGAGAACAATCCGTCGAGTGTAACAGTCGCACAGTCAGGAGGATGTTTGAGAACGTCAGGATGAGCACGCTCACAATGCTCAAGTTCCACAGTCTGCACCCGATCTGGAAACAGAACATCCTCATTATCTACGACAACGGCTTCCAACGACAGCGAAAAGCTGTAATCACAAATCAAATATGACACTCTTTAAAGCTCGGAGTTTACAAGCTCCATTAAGCAGAGACATTCTTGAAGATCTAATGGCCGCTCATTAGTCAAGAAATTCCCTTTATTATGTAAAATATGAAGATTCATTACCATGATTGAAAGATCCCGCCACTGGTACGTTTCTTCAACCACATGCATACAATTCACAAACTCCCACCCCATTGCCTCAAAATCAATTGTAATATTTTCCTACCATCTATGCTTAGATCTTCTGAGTGGTCTCTTCCCTTCAGACTTCTGAACCAAAATGTTGTATTCATTCAACATCGATACCATGAGTACTACATGCTCTACCCACCCCTCAGATTTCATTATCCTAATAATGTTAGGTGAAAAGTACAAGTGTGCAGTTCCTCATACTTATTTCTCCATCCTTCTGTTAATTTCTATCTCTTAAGTAACATTACTGTCCTCAGCACCCTGTTCTCAAACACTCTCGACTTGGGATTTCCTCGAAATAAGAGAGATCATGTTTGACGCGCAAAAAACAACTTACAGGAAAGAAAATTCACATTAGGCCTATAATATTTCATTTTAAATTACTCCGAAATATTAAAGATTCAGATATTTATTTTGTCATCAAGCCACATACATTCTTATACTGCTTATTTGGTCCGCTTTCATACTTTTGCACAGTGGAGTCAGCCACGTGCTGGCCCATAACCACTGCAAGCAAGCCCTTTTTCTCAACATTCTCTCCTCTTCAGTAAACACGCCAATTTGTAGCTCCTCATATTCAAACTTAGAAATTATCTCTTTAAGTACACAGAAGGGAATATTATTCTGTGTGAACGAAGTTTCGTGGATCATTCCAGTCAAATTTGATGGACTCAAAAGCTAAGATCTTAATAGCACACAGAGAAGAGAGTAGGTCATCGTTTGAAATACAGCGCAATAGGAACTTTCCAGACATAAGAGTATGCAGACAGAATGGGTTACCTCCTGGTTTAGCTTTAATCTACTTGAACTTTTAATAATGTATGTTCTTGTAACTTGGGTTTATTTTGAGATTGCACGACGATAACCTCAAAACACACTAGATCCGTGTGACAACTCGTTACTCCACGACTGCATGTATAACACAGGAAACCTTAAGCAAGTAAAAGGAAACCAAGGGACCATACGAAATCCTACGTCCCCGACGGCTTCCTTGTATAAACTACGGAAAGTGTTCATGCGACATTAAACATACCGCTGTGCATTACATGCACAGTAATCTCTTAAGTGTTAGCATTATCTATTCTGAAATTAATTAAACTCCTTATTCTAGCTGCTAGAACCTTAATGCTCATATTTTTCCTACCCTAATCTTCTCCTTCCATATTACTGAAGTATTAGCGTTTCCAACAGCAGCACTATTCACTTAGCAACAAAGTACATCTGCAATCAAAGACTGCAACGGTCTATAAATAAATTTTTGAAACGCGTTCGTTTCTATTTTGAATACATCATTTCCCTCGGTGTTAAGTTACTACAGGTAAAATCCATTAATGTGTAGCTAATCACAAAATATATCATATTGTACAGAGAAGGAGCCTTCCCCCAAGCCCAACCATATCGATTGTAATGTTTCTTCTATTCGTCACAATGCGTCGATTTGGAATCTACCCAATCCTGTCTAAAAGTTACTGGGGGTTATTTACCTGCACGTAAAGTGGTCAGGGTGTGAAGATGGCCATTCATCTTCATCTAGTGCCCAGGTTAAGAATGCGTGGAGCTGTACCTCCGTTTTCATGGTACATTACTTTCGAGCAGTAGGGCTGATACTAAATACGTATAACAAAGTTGTCTCCACAGTTCTCGTCATAACCCATCCCCTCCCGCCAACTTCGTCCAGAATGTGGACCACATGGCGTCACAAACCATAAGACCACAATCCACATTTCAACGCCACGAAAGCTTCCTACATGACAAGCGGACTTGATCAAATGTCCGAAACGGGCCAAAGGCCCAACCCTTGAAGTTGAAGCTTCCTAAAATCACATGTAATCCTATCATAAATTTAGGAGATAAAACGTGGATGAACGATCTTTGCACTACGCTTTTATAGTATGCATTTTGTATACATAACGCATAAAACATGATTTTAAAGCAGCCTTCGGTATTCTGGCTTGCTTCACATATTCGTCACAGTCACACACAAGCCGTCAGCTAATTGGTTGTACTTCAAATTGTAAACACATTACGCATCTCATATGCAGTCCAACACAGCTAACACGCTGATTATGTTTGCTTAGTACACTGATGGCGTTTATACATAAACACAAGCGATTCATTGAGTGCAACAATGTTTTAACGACAAATGTTTTTGTTGTAATATATAGTGTGGTAGCGTAATGCAAAGTTACATCACCGCTAACACCGAGGTTCGCGATTCGATATGATCACACGCCACACACAAAATCTATCTCTTACAATAGCTATCTTAGTCTCAACTGCCATCTCTTCGGTCTTCCAAATGTGTTTTTCTAAACAAATTTACCCACACATTCTGCACTTATTTGTTGTGCCCCCATAATAGACAATATGCCAAGTCTACAGAAGTTTCATACACTTTATTACATTAGTAGCAGGCTTGCTGTATAATGTGTAGACTATTTATGGTACAAAAATTTATCTGTTGATTGTCATCTAACGTATCTTCAAGACATCTTATTGAATTTTGGAAATTATTACATTAAAAATTAAGGTTTAAAGCCTCAAAAATAAAGGGTAATATTAGGAATTAAATTTGGCGCTCCTACCCACCTGCTTTGAAAAGTGACAAGTTTCGCAAGGAACTTACAATTACGTTAAAGGATCTGAAGATCAGGACATTTGGTAGTATAAATGTTTAGGAAATTTATATTGTGGCATGTTACAAAGACATGTACGCCCTGCACATTTTTAAGAATATTAAAAAATTCAGTACCTGGTCCTTCAGAAATCCCGAAATTCATGCCACTGATACAGAGTGAATCCTAATTTGGTTCGTACTGATGGCGTTGAGGCATAACGTCACAGTTTTTGTCAAAATCGTTTACTGCACAAAATATTAATATACACACAGGGCATGACATCGAAAACTCATTCTGCCAGACGAACAGAATTTATAGGCTTGTAATGGAATGACAGTATGTTCCACCTTTTACAAATGCATTTTCCATTTATCTCTATATTGTGTTTTTTTAAATAAAGAGAAAATATCCAACTCTCTTCGTATGTCCTCATTTCTTAACTGATCTGTCCTAATGCAATCTTTGACAGTTCTTAGGTACGTCATTTCCGCTGCTTGAATTATAAGGACAGTAGGATTAGCTTTGAAACAACATACACTGATGTGCCGTAAATTAACACAGATTACAATTTGATATGATATAATTTAGAAAATACTAGCAAAGACCTTGGTCTTCTCCAAGTCTTTTCATAAAATATACTGTAGTAAAATAATATAATTATAAATATTATAAATCTTATGAATAGACTAGACTATATGTTCGCTTACTCCAATTCCTATTATGTTCATTTTTCACCGTATGCCGCGTAGTAGCCGCTTTATGAATTAAACAGTTGCCATGCAACGAAACACTATTACTTTCACGTATAAGAAACTCGTCCTATGAAGCATTATATTCAAGAATACGTATGTAAAATTATATTTACACAAGCACATGTCTATTATAACCCCATACTTAGCGGTCTTGTAACAACACAGCAATAACAAGCATAGAGCTGGCCATTATGGAAGAAATTTAATGGTAATGGCAACCTTAAAATTCTTTTCTAGTTAGCTATAAAAAATATAACTGAGCGCAACTGTTATTTTTAATGTTTTCCTTAGTTTTAAAAAGCACCTTGGAAAATGACTATTACAGGATAATACCACACATGATCTCATTCGGTGCTCGTATTTAGTATGACATCCATTTAACTGAGGACAAGCGTAAAGAAAACTCCCAAAAGTCGTGTATGTAGGTACACGTAAAACAATGGAGAATCCATCAACGTAACTACAGTGCACGGCATGGAATACATTTAAAAGAACCTTTACTCCGAGACCAGCCACGTGCAGCGTCAGAGACAAAGCCCTCAACTTACGACCGAGAGTGTGATAATGAGCTGCTTGGTCAGGGCTACGTACACCTCATGGAGCGGTGACAGATGAGTGGGGGATCATAATGACTGTCAAGGGGAAAGCAAAGAATTCGGAGAAAATCCTGCTCCAGCGAGACTTCTTCCCAACTAATCCCACTTGCATTCACCCGGTACTAAAGCCAGGTCTCGGCGGTGAGAAGCCAGCATCTAGCTGTCTCAGGTAGAGCACAACAGAATAAAATTCAAATTCCAGTAAAACTCAGTTCTCCCGTACCACATGTGAAAGCCTCAAAGTTCTTGTTTAAATGTTACAATACCAAGCGTGCAATTCTTGGCTTTAAAGTAAAGTAAGTAAAGTTAGTCCCACTATACGCCATGTAGGCGTTTGGGGTGAGAGGAGGTATAGCTCCTCTCTTCCTTGACCTCGGCACTAGATGGGGGTGAGTGGTCAGCATCACGCCCCGGCCGGCTTTACCCCCGGGAAAGGACCCCGGTACCCATTGTAGAGGAGGCTGGGTGGGCCCCAGAGCCGGTCTGGACGCAGAGGCTAGAGGAAAAATCCTCTGCCCTCGTCGGGGATCGAACCCCGGTCGTCCAGCCCGTAGCTAGACACTATACTGACTGAGCTATCCCGGCTCATATTCTTGGCTTTATGAAATCTCATTCTTGGTACGAAGAAATTGGAAGCGTTGCAGTGTGGATTCCTTGATGCACGTGAAAGGTTCTTATATGTCTTCTTGTAATAGCAAGACTTTTCTATTAATATTTAATTGAAGCAGTATTCCACATAAAGATGCAAATATTATTAGTCAGACAAAAG